GAGGGGGTGGGGAATCATGGCTGTGGGTGGGGTCAACTGTCAGATGGAGCACTGGGCCAGGGGGGGTGGTCGCCGTGGAAACTGGCAGTTGCTAACATGGATGGGTTTGCCACCTGTGGCATTCGGGTGTATGTTACGCTGTCATCTAGCTGTCGTCCTGTTTGGTTTGGATCACACCAACCTGGGCCTGTGCATGTTCAGCAGGGGCACGACGTGGCAGTTTTTTTGTTTTTTGTTCAGTTTCGTTTGAGGCAGCAGTGGTCGTAGGTGCAGGCTGCTTCCCCTGGATTTGTCTGCCTGTTTCCGCTGTGTTGCCAGGCAGCTGTTATAACCCCCAACCCCCCCCCCCCCCCCCCCCCCCCCCCACCCACTACAGGGGCGAATTATTGCAGAGACAACTGGCCTGAAACCCAGTTTGGCCAGATCCTGACCATATCACAGCCTCACTGGGCTGTCATCTCACTGCGGGAGGCCCCACCTAGACCCCTCACCCAGACCCCCCAGCAACGTGAAAGTCTCCACCTTCGCTGATCTGTCTCCGCAAAATCGCCACGCGATCGCTCCCCTTATGAAATGATCCCAGTCCGTCTTTACTGTCGGGAGAGAAACAACCCGTCAGTGTCGCCGTGGCATCGCCGTCTCCTAGGAGACCAGGTCCGGACATTACGTGACCCGCTGATTTTCCCGCTCCAAACGTATGACACTTATGCCCCCACAAAGTTCTGGCAGATACCATAGGTCTGATTTATTAATGCGTTCGTATTGTGGCACATAATTCTTCCTCATCTTAGTAAGGGTTTATAATCCTCCCTCTGGGTGTGTCAGAGGTATAAAGCTGAATGAAAGCTTTATCGAGAATGGTTAGGAGACGTCAACTTACTGCTTAGCACTGCCTTGAACATGCAGTGAAGTTTAATAATGAAATGAAGCCTCTTTCAAGGTTCCTGCTTTTTATTCCTGCTCTTGGATGTGTCTGGGACATAGTGCCGGTGAATTCCGCGGATGCTTTTTCACGTCAGACGTCGGCCACTTCGGGACATCGGGGACCAGTGCATCCCGTTTGGCCTTGTCACCAGCTGTTTGGACAGCTCGAAACTGGAGGGACGCAACACGTCCAGTTTTCACTGGTTCCCTTTCTGTTTCTCAGCCGGGTGAGGTCACACCAGGCTATTACTCCTGTCTGATCATCGTGCTGTTTGGCACGGGGGCGTCATAGGGCCCTAGAACAACTCGACTGAACATCACCAGTTAAGGTATCTCTTCATTCTTTCAATCCTCAGTGGTTTCCATTAAATACGAATGAGTGTTTGTCATGGAGGTTTTTTAATAAACCGTCTGTTTTTCCTCTGTTTTACCACCAGTGTGTTTCATTCGAGCCCGAAGTGCTGAGATGCCCCACAGTTCAGGCACGATGCTTTCGAATTGAGACACTGAGTAGATGATGATTATGAGGTTTGTGCATGAGGCAGTTGGGGGTTCTGGCACCGCCAAGGTGATAAGGAAGTGACTGAACTGGCATTTGGACGGGAATCTGGTCTATTACCCTCGCATCACCCTTTATATGCAAATTCACGCACAAGTCTTTTGCACAGACAGGAGGGTAAAGCCCTGTTCTTAATTTGCGTTTAAGCCCCCTTTCAGTTCCCGCTCCGTCTCGCGTGAATTATTTTCGCTGTACGATAAATCACGGTTTTGCTGAGACCTCATTGCTGAGAGGCCTTGGATCCCTTGCAGGAATGAATTTATTGAACCGAATGCAGCATTATCACCTGGAATAAGGACTCGTTTCATGGGTATTGCTAATAAATAAACAGCCCATCCGAGTCTCTGTAAAACGAACCTGCCTGTTAAACAGCACGATGCGAAGAAAAGAAATCAAGTGATGAGGGCAGCCGTGCCAAGGGCTCTTAAATGTTTATTGCAACACAAAAGCAGGAAAATGTCATTTTTTAGATGGCGTTTAGTGCTTATCCCACACAGCAGGCCCTTGAGGACCCTGAACTGACCTCCTGTGATGTTCACATCTGCCTTTGAGCTGTTTGCATTGCATTATGGGAGTTCTGTTTGCTCACTGGTATTGCTGGTCACATGATTAAATTGGCTGGGAATTCTCACCGGGGAAGGTTTGTTTGAGACGATCCCTCGCTTCTCCTCATCCTGTTTGATCCTCCATGTAGGGGTTGTCCCAACAAGCATGATGTCTGTCTGTGTGTTAAGGGCTTTTGCTGAATATTGTGGGGTTTGCTTGTTTAGTTTGGGTTTCCATTCATGATGTCATTCCGCATGTGGTGTGGGACGTTACCTGGAGTGTGGTTTGGGGTGTCATCCAGCGGCCAACTGAAATGTTCCCAGAGTGGTCCCTCCACTTGGTGTCTAATTAGCTCATCTTTGGGGTGTTACGATGACGCTTTGACATCTGCGTTTGTAGCACCGACGGGCCCAGGTGGTCCTGGCGGATGAGTCGCCGCTTGGCGTTCATCAGAGCCTCGCATTCTGTTCCTGCACCTTTGTCTCACTCTCTCTCTCTCTCTCCCCCCCCCCAC